ACATTCCCTTCCGAGGGGCCCTGCGAGATGTTGACAGTGATCACAGTGACATCAGTGGCCAATAAGATCTAGTATCCTTCCACTCTAAGTTACAGAGAATCAGCACAGTCTTTTCATAGTCAACAGGAGAAGTCATCACTAGTGAAACTGCTAGGCTCTGTCTGGACCTGAGACTGCGATATTTGGTTCTGGAATCACCTCTGCCAAGTTATCCACTGGAACTGATTGACCTGTGGATTTTAAAAGTCCTGGTGAGGAGTCGTGGGAGAGGCTTGATAAACTGGCACCTTGTTAGAGGATGGTGTTTTTTGTGTTTTTGGTTTTTCTTGCTTCAAGCACCAAAGCTTTATTTACGGTGAATTGTTTCAAGGAGTTCCTTGAAGGATCTCCTGAAGTCAGCTGGGCATGGAGCATCATGTTTGTCTTTTCTAAACAGTCTGCTGCCACTGGCAGAAGCTCCTGGATGAGTGGATAAGTGGTGGTGTGAACCTGCAATGCAGGTGCTTATTAGACAGTGTCAAATGAGCAAAGTGGAAAAATGTGAAGCTGCAGAAATGACCAACATTAAGCAGCAATGGGAGGATTGAGACGTGCAGAACCACCTGGTTCATCCGACTGCATCAGTCTGTGCTAATCCCCAGAGCCCCTGCCAGTCACCTGTAACATGGAGGGGGACCTTTCTCTCCACTCCATGGACTATAGGGAAAGGGGGATTCTGGGGATGAAATCTGAAGCCCAACGGAGCGTCCCCTCTGATGCATGGTGCAACCAGTGACCATCGAAGAGCGCCTGGGTGTTAAAGATGTGTAGCTACCCACCTTCCTCTGATGTTGGAAACACACCCTGCTTGGGAGGAGGCTTGTCCCCTGAATCAGGCTGCTGAGCCATCTGGTGCTGCAGCTGACCTGGAAAGGATTCCAGTACATTTCAGACCTGAGTTACAGCTGGCGTGGGGAAATCGAGGAGACAGGTGGTTCCCTTAACAGCTGTATATTTGGTTAGGGCTGGCAAGAAAGAAAATTTCATCCTTGTTGAGCCTTCATGGGTTTTCAGGGATCTGTAGTAGCTCCTTGACCTTTTGCCATAATAATTGCCATTTCAGGGAAAATAATGATATTTCTCTCATCGTCGAAATATTGTCTGTAGGTTGGTGAACCTAAAGTTTGATGGGAGCATATTAAGTGATAGGTGGATGAAAAGACTATGGTTGTTAGCTAGGAGAAGACTCATAGAAAGTCTTTCAAACACATTCCAGTATCTGGAAAGGTACGAACTAAAGCCCTATTGGGGAAAAACACTAATGCTGCATATAAGCGGACTATTTCAGTTTGGAAGTATTCATCCTGAAAATTTTAACATAACTTAACCAAACACTGTACTTGTTAAATGAACCATTATGCATGCCGAACGAAGTGTAAGACTTCTTTAGCCTAATAGAAGTTAAGAATGCTTTTGACCCTTTTTCTTTTTTGGTCCTGAATGAAGCACTTTTGCTATGTATATCCATATAGTTTCAGGGGGATATTAGGCAGACTTGGTTTTTACTTTCTGATGAGGCTAGGCTAGGCATAGTAGCTTATGCCTATAATCTGAGGGCTGTGGGAGGCTGAGGCGGGAGGACCACTTGAGGCCAGGAGTTCAAGACCAGCCTGGGCAACATGGTCCTCCATCTCTACAAAATATTTAAAAACTAGTCAGGCATGGTAGCATATACCTGTAGTCCCAGGTACTCAGGGAAGGGGCAGAATTGTTTGAGCCAAGGAGTTCAAGGCTACAGTGAGCTATGATCGTACCACTGCACTCTAGCCAGGGCAGCAGAGTGACATCCTGTCTCAAAAATAAATAATTTTTTAAATGGTGAAACTAAAGTAACTAAGGTACTAAGGAAGTAAGATATTCTCCCCTGTAACTCATTCAGGAACTAAATGTGGGGGGGGAAAAAAGAATCTGAGTGTTAATATCCCCAGTCTTCTTGTCTGCCCAGGACCCCACGTTTGTGTTACTTGCTCATTGCACAAGGGTTCCCCCCTGAGGCTGTGAATGGGGTCAGAAATCCAGACTGGGCTGGGCTTATCAAGCCATGGACTGTGGCAAGGAGCTGTGCCCACCTGGAGATGAGATCCTATCCCATTCTGGAATTTGCAAAAAGGCTGAAGGCTTCTCGCCAAAACACAGCACCTGTGGAGCTGTGCTGGGGCTGAGCTCTTGGGTCAGACAGATGACCAGCAAGGTATATTAGCAGTATTACCTAGGGGATCCTCCTATGTGTCACACTGGAACTAGAGCTTCTCCCTGCATGATCTTAAAGAGTATTTATTTAGATGAGTATACACTTTGAACTGAAACACTTCAGAGCTATGCATAGTTGGAAGAGGATCTGTAGTGATAAGTCACTGACTCTACCTTACTAGTTGCAAAGGCGGAGTGGACCTTGGATGAAACTGGAAAGCATTTGAGATCCTGGGGATCTTCCCATCTCCTCTTCTGTATGTTAAACTCCTTTAATCCTTCCTTTGTCCTGTTCACCTGCCATCCCACCAGGCTCAGATAAAGCTTCAGTCTCTACCTTTCTGAAAAACAAAAACCACCCACCTTCTTTTTGCTAAGAACTTTGTTCAAGAGGAAGGCACTTTAAAGTAGCTAAAATCACACTAAGGTGTAATAAACAGGAACAATTAAATGTCTCCTTCCTCAAGGATAGTATTTTAATATATAAATAGCAAATGGACTACACTGTCCTGGTAGATTCTTAGGCAGCAGGATATGCAGGGATTTTGCTTGCGTGTCTAAGGCAGGAGCACTCCCTTTATCCCTGAGATCACTGTGTGCTGGTCAGAGCTCTCCACAGCCGGCTCACACAGAAGTGCACACAGTTCGCTTACTTTACATCAGCATTGTTCCGTGTTGCTTTACCTTAGCGTTGTTCAGTACTCTATTGTCTGTTTGCATTTTCCTTGTCATAACACTGTTCTTCCAGGCCAACCTAAACTCTTCATTCTTGGCTCCAGCATGGCCAAACTGGTGTTGGTTTTGCATCTCCTGAACTTACTCTTTCATAATTTCCTTTTGTTCAGCCAGTAAACTGCTCCATTCCTAAATCTTCTTTTTTTAAACATCTCATCCCCAAAAGTTACTTGCTTGAAAGTATAAGCTTCTGCTTTCTGTTTTGTTTTTCTTTCTTCTTCTTCTTTTTTTTTTTTTTGAAAGTGTGATTATTAACTGAGGTGATAATTCACAACTTCCCCATTGCTTCCTTATCCGGAAGCTAACCCCATAAGCCCAGGACAGGGAAATGAGAACTTACTGAGACTGTGTTTGCTGGAAGCATTTAGTAAGGCTTGACCTGTTTTTCTTTCTATACCAAGCCTAATGAGACATGGTTGGTATTTTTCTTCTAAAAATGGCTACTGGAAGCTGTGATATTAGTTTCCTGTTGGAAAGTATTCCCTGATAGGAAGCAATTTCTATGGCTTGTCCAGGGCTTACATCACACTAATGAAGCTGAACTCACTAGTGAAGTTGATCGGTTCAGTAAAAAAATCTACCGTGAAGAAGCAGGGCCAAGTGGATTCTGGTCACAGAACTCAAAGTAGCTGAAATAAGACACTTGTGAAAATGGCCAGTCTCTTCAGCTGCAATTCTTTGAAGAAATATCATAATGTTCAATTCCCTTCATCATTCAAGTGATGTATTTGAAGAGTTTCTGATCCTTGGGCACATGGAGTTTTTCAAATGCCAAAATGTTATGGTCATAGTCTACCTTGTCCAAAAGATAAAGGTTTTATATGTATTGACTGCCAGTAGACTCTAATCAAATCCAGTGTAAAATGACAAGGTTCCAAATGAGGAGGAATCTGGAATGTCTTTAAGAATCCTACATGAATGAGATTATACTTTATTTTCCCTCTGGCATAGGAGAACCTCTCAAAGCTTGTCTGGCTCCATACATTACGTTCCTTTAGTAAAGTCAAGATAAAATACCTAGTCTTGGTGAATACATCACTTGACTTTTTTCTTCGACCACTTAACAAGGACAACCCAGATCAAAAGTTAGCATCTTTATTCCTTTAATTGCAGAATTTTTTGTCCTATCCTTTTCCCAAACTAATTGTGCTGAGAAACTGCATACTGATGAACAAATTGTTAGCCAGTATTTTATCTTTAAGTTGAAGAAGGTGCAAGCCCTCCTCCAGGACCCGGAAGGAATGGCCTAGGATTTTCATATAACTCTTCGGTGGAGGAGGTTGGTTGGGAAAAAGATATATGCTGGCCTGCCCTGAAGGGCCGGGAACTCCCACAGGCTCTTGAAAAGGGGGAATCAACACGTTGCCAGTTTGTGTGCTGTAGCCTATGTAATGCGTGGGCCACGGTCCACTGACATCTGTTGGGGCATGTACCCATCTGTATTGTAGCTTAATTTCTGAACCACTTAAAATACAGTCTTCCATATTGGCAAACCAGTATTGAGGGTGATATGTACAGAACTTTGCATCATGTACTGTGGTGGAGATGAGGTAGAAGGCACTAGCCCAGTTTTTAAGAAGCTTATAATACAGTTGTCTGAACCTGTGAGGTTAGAAAGTCTTTCAAAAGTGCGATGTTCTGGAGATACCCTTTAAGAAAATTACAATTAATGTAAGCTTGTGCTGCTGTTATTGTGATGAAATACTTCTCTTCACATAGCTGGTATAATGCAGGTCCCATTCACACCTCACCCATTCCACCAGCACCTCCCACTCTCCTTTCTGAATAGCTGTATTCCAGAGAGGTGAGACGTGGAGTCAGGAATTGATCTCCAAAGTGGGTAAAGCTAATAAATATGATTTAGGATGAAAAGGTACTGTGTAAATGCTTGAGATGTTGTTATTGCTGTTCTCATATGCTTTATTATTTTTAAATTGTGCATCCTTTTAAGTAGATTGTTTGTTCACCACAGTCTCCATTATATCTAAGCAAAGCATTCACAGAAATTTCTAAAACCTTTTCATTTCTCTCTGTAGGTTGTTGTTTCGTAACATTTTATACAAGAAAAGCTGCACTTGAGGCCCAGAATGCACTGCACAATATTAAAACTTTACCTGGGGTGAGTCGGTTTACTTTTGTACCAGAATCACTTTATTGCTTGAAAATGGTCCTTTCAACTGAAGGTTCTAGTTATGGGCTCTTAGTGCCAAAAATGACTTTGGTCTTTTGAGGAGTGTGTGCTGACCCCCCGGTTCCCTGCAGCAGCCACACCAGCTGGCCAGCCCATAAAGGAGTGCTGGCATTAACGCTGACGGGAAGCATTTTCAAATACTGTGTCCCCTGGTTAGAAAATCAGAGTGACCCCACTGGGCAGCTGCCGCTGCCAAAGAGTATTGGGTGGGCTAAGATTTTAAAAGGAAAAAAAAAAAACTAACACACACAAGAGAAGCAAATGGAAAAGAAAAAGCTTTTATTCACCAGGAGCTCCTTTTCAAATTTTGTCTTTAGATTTTCTTTTGAAAGGACAAAATGTACCCTGTACAGCCATAATATTAAGCCTCCTAATGGTTTCTAAACAGTCAGTGGTGGTTAACAAAGTCAATGTTTTAATGCCCAATTTGTGGCTTCATGTTGATACAGGACAGAAAATAAAAAGCTTACCTTTTTTTTTCCGTTTTCTTCCTATTTGATACTTGGCACAATTCATCAGAAAGAAACTGATGTTGCATGTAGGAACACCAGAATACATTTTTTTCTAAAGTATTTTGTGGCACTTTTATGTACTTCTTGCTATTCCCAATTTCCTGATGCTGTTTGGATGTTTTCCCCATTGACCCAGATGTCAGTGGTGAGTTCATTCAATATCATAATGACTTGAATTTGTTATAATGAAAAACCTGTGGTAACCAGTGCAAGGATAATGATTTTATTGAAACCTGGTTTGATAAGAGGAAAGATAAGATAATGTTCCTAATGTTTTCAGGGTATAATTTACCTTTGTGTCATTTATTTGTCTCTGAACACATACACAAACATCTGTGTGTATATGCATATTCACACATGCACACATAACCATTGAAACACCCCCAAAACCCCAAGAAAAGATAGCATTTGTATGATTCATCCTAGACTCATTGAGGATGTAAGATTGTAGTGACAAGAAGCTCAACAAAAGATTTTCAAAATTAGCTTCTCAATCACCCAGAAGTCATAAATTATGAACCTTGATCTTGAATCATGCTACTTTGGTATTCCCCTTTGTATGTGAGGAAATCAAAGAATAGAAGTTTCAAAAAAGCAAGTGTGTGGTCCCACAGTGGTCCCTCCCAGTTCCACTGCTTCTCTCTGAAACTGCTAACATGGTTCTTAGTAAAGCTGCTTTTACTGAGCCTAAGTGCTTTGCTCAGTCCCTTTTAAAAAAATACTGTTATTTCCTCTGCATTCTTCATGTAAAATAATTTTTTAACACAGATTCTGGGAGATTGCAGTGTTCGGTCACATTATGGAATGAAAGAACGAAGGCAAATATTTACTGACTCAGCCAACAATAGAAGAAAATAATTTTTATTTTCCAGGCTCCTAATCAAACCCAGAGACCACTGTTTTTCTTCTTTTAAAAAGAAATGCTTTTTCAGTAATTAGCATGCAAAATCCCCTCTAGGTGTGTTTGTTAAAATTACCTGAGACATGAACTGTTGTTTATTTAGCATTTAAGGTATAGTGTAGTTTGACGCCAAGTCACATCGTATTTTAAATGGATGCAAAGCTTAGTGAATTTGTATTTATCCCTCTACTAGAAGCCCAGCTCCTAGCATGTGATCTTCATAGTCGAGGGTGCGCTCAAGAAACCAAGAGTGTATATGATGAATGGGGCATGTTGAAATGCATAAAAGTGACTTATGAGTATGTTTCTGTTTGGGATATCTTATGCTGACTCTTAGAAAACAACATGTTTTATATTTTTAGAAAGTTGTACATGTGTTATTTGCTTTCTTCCTAAAAAGTCTGCATTAGAGACCCACTGTCAAGGACAGTAATTTGGGAGTTGGAAAAGATGGTCGGTGGATTATTTTTGGTTTTCTCCTTATCTAGTTTCATATGCCCAATTACTTGAGATGGGTTGAAGGAAAATTTGAAAAGTCAGATTTGATTTGTGAGGCTGATAGCTTTCCAATGTACATACTTGCTCCATTTGCCATTTCAAATATGGCAAATGAGGATAGAGTTTCCCATCTTGCATTTATGTACAGCTTCATCCAATAAACATTACCCTTAACAGCCATAGGAAGAACATGAAAGTGGTTGCCTTTTAGCTGTGTGAGCCTTTGGTGGACAGAAAGAAATGGGACCAGATATAGAAGATTAATGCATATTCTTGGAAAAAATATTACAGGGTGCCTTGCTGTTTGATTACAAGCCTTGGAATTAGTCAACATTTCCATAATTCTAAACCAATATACACCTGTTTTCCCACTGTGATGTGAAGGCACAACTTAATTTAACAGAAACCCTGCTGTGCTAAATCTCTCATTAAATACCAAGCGAGTTCAGTAATTTAAAGTTGTACGCTACTATTTTAACTGGTTGCCTTCATATTATGAAATTAATAAGAAATTAATGATGCACTTTACCATATGCCTTCAATTTCTTTCTGAATAAAAATAAAAGGGATAAAGAAAAAAATGCATCAGCAGCTGACACTTTAAAGCTTTTCTGGTTGTAATCATTTTCCTGTGGATAAAATCCATTAAAAAGTCACTTCCTGCCTTTTTGCTAAAGTGTCCAAAACTTTCTATGTAAAACAAGATCAGATAATGTTAGGGTTTTTTTCTATGTGATTTTCTTTTGCAGTTGATATTTCGTTTCATGAGGAACTTTTATTATGCAGCCAAGCTTGATTGATGTTTCGAGTTTGCTTTCCTCTTGTCTGCAGGATCTTTCTTTCTTGAGGGAAACAAAGAACTCGGTTAGTTAGGACACAAAAACAAACTGTTAGGACGTCTGTTGTGCAATCGCAAGTACCTGCTCTAAGGTTTCGATTTAAAAGCACCCTCCCTTATGTGTTGTGAATGAATTTTAGAAACCCTTTACATGGGGATGGGGGAAGGACTCACACATTGAGTTGCAGGATCAGGGCCCTTACTGAGCAGGGTGAAATCATCGAAGACACGTTTCTCAAACCTGACTGTTACTGGGTAACAAAGGAAGACACTATTTCTTATGTCCTCTGAAATTCTTAACATAAATCCTACAAATACAATGGCAGTCATAAAGAAAGCAAACTCGACAGCTTGGCACAGAGCAAGGGATGAGAGTCTGGGAGTCATTCCCTTGGTTTGATCATGTTTCTCCTCTAGAAGTGGTTGCTTGATGCTTAAGCAACAGATGAAATTTTAGGTACAGTGCCTTACTGGTTACTGACATTTCATGAGATGAATCGCACATGATCATGAAGTGCCTACAATGTGCCTAGCTCTAAGCTAGATATTGGCAGGAGGTAGCAGGGATCGAGCCCAAGGAGACTTCTAGCTAATCTAGCTGGAAGGGTGGACAGTAGAGAGGTAATTAATACTTACATGGTTCATATTTCATGCTTTTCTGCTGCAGACAGAATACCCATTCCACCACATAGACACATCCTTGAGATCCCTAGTAAGTAGAGCCATTATAGCCTGAGGATACTATTGTGAGTGAATCCGCAAAGACTGGGCTACCTGGTAAGCCATTGAGTTTGATGCCTTGTTAGGCTGACTTTTCCCACTGCTGGGCCATTTGTGTTTTTGAACTAATTTTGGTTGCCTCCACTTTAATGATGTGTCAACTTGGGCTTGAAGATAGCATCCCTTGTTGAGGGTTTTATCTAGGCACAACCTAACTGATAGTTTACTCAGTAGAAATGTCATTATCTACCATTGTGTTTCCTGGAGGGAAATTTTCAAGGCACCTTGTGTGAGTTTCATTTTGTTTTTGTTGACCTAATTTAGCTCAATTAAAAAATAAAGTAGGCCGTGCTCTGTGGCTCACACCTTTAATCCCAGCATTTTGAGAGGCTGAGGTGGGTGGATCATGTGAGGTCAGGAATTTGAGGCCAGCCTGATCAACATGGAGAAACCCCACCTCTACTCAAAATACAAAATTAGCCAAACATAGTGGTGCATGCCTGTAATCTCAGCTATTCAGGAGGCTGAGGCAGGAGAATCACTCGAACCTGGGAGATGGAGGTTGCAGTGAGCCAAGATCTTACCATTGCAACTCTAGCCCTGTCAACAAGAGCAAAACTCCATCTCAAAAAAAAGTAAAATAAAACCTTAATTGAGGCACTCAAAAACTACCAAGATCTCTTCAGTAATCAGATGTCAGGGCCAAATATCCTTGTGCTGGTGTCAGCACTGTGCTGGGCGTCATTCTTTTTTCAAGGTCTTAACACATATTGTCTCTAGTAATAAGCCTTTTGGATTGAAATCTACAGCAGTATCATTAGAGCATTCACTATATAAATTAATTTAATTAAGGATGTAATAACAGGAATACAGTTTTGAAAAACCTCTTAAATTTTAACAGCAAGGAGGAAACTGTGGAATCTAAATGTCTTGTAAAATATTAATTGCAAATTTCTTCCAGACATCTTCTCTGAGTATGCCTTACCCATTTCTTTTTTGAATCACCACCAGTTTTATTAAATGCAGTTTATATTAAGGAGTTATTGCCCTAAGAGAACATTTGTTTAGAGTGCTTCATTTTTAGCAGCAGCATGCCAAAAGATGTTTTACGATAACCCATGCAAGGTGAGCAAGGACTGCGGGAGATCTAGGGTAGAAAAACAAATGAGCCTGATCCAGTGGAAAGAGGCAGGAAGGGAAATGGCCTCTTGGGACAAGTATGTTCACCCAGGTGGAGTGAATGGGCCCCTTCCTGGCCTGCCCTGGAAGAGATAATAGACCCGTGTGGGTAGGCACCTTCCTCCCAGGCAGGCTTCACTCCATGGAATTGGCCCCTGTGTTCTTTATAGTGGAGTGCTGCGGTTTGTTCCTCTCTGCAGCAAAAAAGCTCGACTCTCACTGGGGGCAAATTCCATTTGCCCATTTGAATGCATTTTGAGGTGTTCATTTTCTTTGAACC